AAAAAAAAAAAAAAAAAAAAAAAAACATGGCTTTACCAATGTCTTACTATTTCTCCCCTTTATAGTGTACCCATATTCCACATCCCGGGACGAACTTTCCCGGTCCAGATCCTCTACAGCAAAACACCCTGCGAAGACTACGTAGAAGCTGCCGTTAAACAAGCCTTAACAATCCACATCACTAGCCCCCCTGGCGACATTCTCATCTTCATGACGGGCCAAGACGAAATCGAGGCCACGTGCTATGCCCTAGCCGAGCGCATGGAGCAGCACGCCACCAAGAAAGAAATCCCGAAGCTTTTAATCCTCCCCATATACTCCCAGCTCCCGGCTGATCTCCAAGCCAAGATCTTCCAGAAGGCCGAGGACGGGGCTCGAAAGTGCATCGTGGCCACAAACATTGCCGAGACTTCCCTCACCGTCGATGGAATTTTTTACGTAATCGACACGGGTTACGGCAAGATCAAAGTCTATAACCCGCGCATGGGCATGGATGCTCTCCAAGTTTTCCCCGTCAGTCGGGCTGCTGCAGACCAGCGGGCCGGACGAGCGGGCCGGACTGGGCCCGGAACTTGCTACCGCCTCTTCACCGAATCTGCGTACCTCAACGAGATGCTCCCGAGCCCAGTCCCTGAGATCCAGCGCACAAACCTCGGCAATGTTGTCTTACTTCTCAAGTCACTCAAAATCGAAAACCTGCTCGATTTCGACTTCATGGATCCTCCCCCGCAGGAGAATATCCTCAACTCGATGTACCAGCTCTGGGTGCTCGGAGCGTTGAGCAACGTGGGTGATCTAACCGACCTCGGCTGGAAAATGGTCGAGTTTCCGCTCGACCCGCCGCTCGCCAAAATGCTTCTGATGGGCGAAAAGCTGGGATGCCTTAACGAGGTTTTGACGATCGTGTCCATGCTTTCGGTCCCATCGGTTTTCTTCCGGCCCAAGGATCGAGCCGAGGAAAGCGACGCTGCTCGGGAGAAATTCTTCGTGCCGGAATCCGACCACCTGACGCTACTCAACGTGTACCAACAGTGGAAAGGTAAGCAGTACAGGGGAGATTGGTGCAACGACCACTTTTTACACGTGAAGGGGTTGAAAAAGGCTCGGGAGGTGAGGTCACAGCTGCTCGATATCCTCAAGACGCTTAAAATCCCGCTGACATCGTGCGGGCCCGACTGGGATGTCGTGCGAAAAGCTATATGCTCGGCATATTTCCACAACTCGGCTCGGCAGAAGGGTGTTGGGGAGTATGTTAACTGTAGGAATGGGATGCCATGCCATTTGCACCCGAGCAGTGCTATATATGGGCTCGGTTACACTCCGGATTATGTGGTGTACCACGAGCTGGTGCTGACGAGCAAGGAGTATATGCAGTGTGCAACAGCTGTCGAGCCGCAATGGCTAGCGGAGCTTGGGCCCATGTTTTTCTCGGTGAAGGACTCGGATACATCAATGCTGGAGCATAAGAAGAAGCAGAAGCAGGAAAAGACGGCTATGGAGGAAGAGATGGAGAGCCTGAGGAAGGTGCAAGAGATGAGAGAGAAGGAGGGTAAGGAGAAAGATAGGGCGAAGAGGGAGAAGGA